CATTCCCACCAGCAGTGTATGAGAGTTCCAATTCCCCACAACCTCACCTCACCAGTATTGTTTTTTTTTTTTTTTTTTAATCAGTGCCATTCTTGCAGAGGTGAGATGGTATCTCATCATAGTTTTTATTTGCATCTCTCCACCAGGCACTCGTTGGAAATCCTATGGGGCAGTTCTACTCTGTCCTATAGGGTTGCTATGAGTCAGAATCAGCTTGCCAGCAATTTTTTTTTAATGGCTAATGATTGTGAGCATCTTTTCATGTGTTTGTTGGCCACCTGAATGTCCTGTTTGGTGAAGTGTCTGTTCACATCCTTTGCCCATTTTATGATTGGGTTGTTTATCTTTTTGTTGTTGAGTCATTGAAGTTTTCTACACATTTTAGAGATTAAATTTTATCAGATATGTCATTGCCAAAGATTTTTTCCCAGTCTGTAGTTTCTCTTTTTACTCTCTTGGTCTTTTGATGAGCAAAAGTGTTTAATTTTTAGAAGGTCTCAGTTATCTAGTTTGTCTTCCGAAGTTTGTGCATTTTTAGTTATGCTTAATATTCTATTTATGACATAGATTAGGGCCCCTAATGTTGTCCCTGTGTTTTCTTTCATGATCTTTTTAATTTTAGGTTTTGCCTTTAGGTCTTCGATCCATTCTGAGCTTGTTTTTATGTATGGTGTGAGGTATGGTTCCTGTTTAATCTTTCTGCAAATGGATATTCTGTTTTGCCAGCACCGTTTGTTGAAGAGACTGTCTCTTCCCCCATATAATGGACTTCGACACTGTCAAAGGTCAGGTGTCCATGGGTGGATGAATTTACTTCTGGTTTCTCAGTTCTGTTCCATTGGTCTATGTGTCTGTCATTATACCAGTACCAGGCTGTTTTGACTACCATCGCTGTATAGTAGGTTCTGAGATCAGGCAATGTGAGGCCTCCTGCTTTGTTCTTCTTTTTCAATAGTTTTACTTATCTAAGGATTCTTTCCTTTCCACATATAGTTGATGATTATTTTTTTCCATCTCGTTAAAGAATGTTGTTGGAATTTGGATTGGGATTGCATTATATCTATAGATCCCTTTGGGTAGTATTGACATTTTCACAATGTTAAGTCTTCCTATCCATAAGCATGGTATGGTTTTCCATTTATAAAGGTGTCTTTTGGTTTCTTGCAGTAATGTTTTGTAGTTTTCTTTGTATAAGTCTTTTACACCCCTAGTTAGAGTTATTCCTAAGTATTTTATCTTTTGGGGGCTGTTATAGATGGTATTGCTTTCCTGATTTGTTTTTTGGAATTCTCTTTGTTAGTGTAGAGGAATCTGACAGATTTTTTGGTGTTGATCTTGTGCCCTGCCACTTTGCTGAATCCTTCTATTAGTTCCAATAAGTTTCTTGCAGAATCTCTGGGATTTTCTATGTATGGGATCATATTATCTGCAAATGGGTAATTTTACTTCTTCCTTACTAATTTGGATGCCTCTTATTTCCCTTTCTTATCTTATTGCTCTAGCTAGGACTTCCAGTACAATATTGAATAAGAGTGGTGATAAAGGTTGTCTTGGTCATCTAGTGCAGAAATACCACAAGTGGATGGCTTTAACAAAGAGAAATCTATTCTCTCACAGTCTAGTAGGCTATATGTCCAAATTCAGGGCGCCAGTTCCAGGAGAAGGCTTTCTCTCTGTCGGCTCTGGAGGAAGGTCCTTGTCATCAGTCTTCCCCTGGACTAGGAGCTTCTCTGTGTAGGAAGCTCAGGTCCAAAGGATGCGCTCTGCTCCCAGTGCTGCTTTCTTGGTGGTATGAGGTCCTCCTGTCTCTCTGCTTGAGTCTCTCTTTTATATCTCAAAATAGATTGGCTTAAGACACTATCTAATCTTGTAGATCTCATCAATATAACTGCTGCTAATCCATCTAATTAACACCATAGTGATAGGATTTACAACACATAAGGAAGTCACATCAGATGACAAAATGGTAGACAATCACACATTTCTGGGAATCATGACATAGCCAAGTTGATACACATATTTTTTGGGGGACACAATTCAATCCATGACAAAGGATCCTTGTCTGGTTCCCATTCTCAAGGGCAATGCTTTCAGTCTCTCTCCACTGAGTTCACTGAGTTCAATAGTATTGGCTGATGATTTTGTATGTATGTCCTTAATTATGTTGAGGAATTTCCCTTCCATTTCTATTTTGATGAGAGTTTTTATCAGGAATGATTGTTGGACTTTATCAAATACCTTTTCTGCAACAATTGAGATAATCATGTAATCCTTTTCCTTTGTTTTATTTATTCAGTGGATTACATTGATTGATTTTCTAATGTTGAACCATCCTTGCATATCTGGGATGAATCCCACTTGGTCATGATGTATTATTTCTGTTACTTCTAATTCATCTTTGATTTCCCAGTATCTACCCAGGATAGTGCAGACATTTAGTAGGTACTGTGATACATAAGGTCACCAGGAGTCATAGCTGACTTGACAGCAACTAACAACAATAAATCAAATGAATAAATGAGTGAACCTAAACTTTTACATTGTTGCGATTATGATATGTGTATATATACCCTGCTTCTTTTTCACTTTGTATTTTATCTCAAGTAATTTTCATATTGCTACAACCAATATGTTAATGGAATTTGATACCCTTTGAAGGTCAATGCTGTCTAATAGAACTTTCTGTATTGATGGAAATGTTTGATATCTGTGTTGTCCAATACAGTAGGCATTAGGCACGTGTGGCTACTGAGCATTTGAAATGTGGCTAGTGCAACTGATTACCTGAGTTTTTAATTTTACTTAATTTTAAGTAATTTAAATTACCACATACGACTAGTGCCTACTGCAGTGGACAGTGCAGGTATAGACCATAATTACTGACTATTCATTCCCTTCTGAAGGACAGTTGAGGCACATTTATAATTATTATATTATTATTCAACTGACTGGTACTTGAAATGATGTTTAAAATATTTAAAATCAAATATAGTAATCATCTCTACCTAAATTTTTTATAATTTTAATTTTTTTGATAACTTGTACTTCCACATATGCAAAGGCAAATAGCAACTCAACACTCATTCATAGAATGAATTCCAAATTCATGGGGTTTTATTTAATTGGATATTATAAAATTTACCTACTGGTGTAGTTGTTTACAGATGTTTCAGATTATTATACTTATCCCTTGGAAAGCTTTTTATCACATGGATAATTTAAAAGATTTAAAAGTTGGACTTATATTTACTGTTTAGCAGGGTGTCTGACACTTTAATACATACTTTATATTACCAGTTCTTAAAAATCATTAAGTACAATTAATACCTTGTGTGCACATTATACGAATAGGTCTTAGGCACAGTGGTTAATGAGAAGATTATTGAATAAACTTTACCAGATGTGCCTCTCTGAGTAAGATTATCTCTCCAGCCAACAACCAAAAGCTTGCCAAAAGATAAAAGATAAATTTTATCTACTTCCCACCCAATCCTTATTTAAAGAATTATAATGCTTTTGGAAATACAGCCCAGCGTGTTTTCCAGACAGGAAAACAAAAGAAAATTCTTGTCGCCTTTAAAATATTCACTGTCAGACATTTGCTTTTATTAATGAAAAATTACCATCATTTACACGACTCTTAAGCCACAATTGTTCACTTTGGCCCATATCTATGTTTAGATCTTTGGGTAGTTATTATTTTAGCTGTATTTTATTATGTCATTTACATGTTTTAACATGTAATATTCAAAATACTGAATTATTGATAGATAATTGCAATTTGGATAGCATTAATTTTGAAGTGTCAGAGAAACAAGGTCATGTGCTAGCATAACTATTAAATTTTAGTTACTACTGGTCATCCACTTATAGAGCTGCAGATACCGTAGTAGGTAGAATTCTAAAGATATCCTCCCAAGATTCCTGTGCCCCGCTTCATGATTCTTCAAATCAAACACTAATCTAGGTATGTGCTGAAAAGACTTTGCAAGGAATTAAGGTTACTAATCAACTGACCTTAAAACAGGGAGATTATCTGGATTATCCACCTGGACCCAAAGTAATCAAATAATCACATCAGCCCTTAAAAGCAGGGGAGGAAGGCAGAAGAGTCAAGTCAAGAAATAAAGTGGAGGATCCCGAAAGGGTATGGTGATGGGAAGTCAGAGATTCCAAACATCAGAAGGATTCATCATGCCGTGGCTGGCTCTGAGATGTAGGGAGCCACATGCAAGGACTGGAGAGAGATGTCTAGGAGCTAATAGTGGCTCCTGATTGACAGCCAGCACAGAAATGAAGACCTCAGTTTTAGAGCTGCAAGGAAATGAATTCAGCCAACAACCAGAATGAGCTTGGAAGTAAGATTCTTCCCAGAGCCTTCTGATAGGATCCCAGACAACCAACACCTTTATTTCGGTCTTGAAAAACCTGGAGCACATAAACCAGCCCAACTACCCCAAATTTCTCACCTACAGAACTGTGAGATAATAAATTTGTGTTGTTTTAAGCTGCTAAATTTGTGGTAATTTGTTACAGCATCAATGAAAAATTATTACTGATACCAAATTAATCATTGGACAATTTGGAGAGATATTGAAGTGTGCCCAAGCCTCAGTACGTGTGTTTATTTACGATCTAGATATGGTCTCATGTTAAAATGTAAGGTTTTATTGTTTTAATCTATATACTAGGAATGTTTCAATATTTCCTAATGTTTGGTAGTTCCCTTTACACATAAACCCAATTTAAATTTATGTGATAGGAAAGAACTTGTAGCTTGCTTTGATCCTAATGTTTGGCTCATGAATATAGTATAAAACCAATATAGATCAAAAGTTTCTTGAGGGTAGGAACCATCTTTCATTTATCGTTGTTATCTATCCCCAGGTATACAGTAGGCATTTAATAAATACTTGTTGAATGTTGTATGTATTGGTTTGTCTTTTTGCTCTAAGAAAAAAGTTTACTTTAAAAACTATGTTATGTATGCTTTCCAATAGGTTATGCTTTCTAATCCAGTACTAGAAAATCCAGTGAATTTGGAAGCAGCCCAAATGCTGATTGCTGATGAATCTCTGTACCAAATAACAGTGCTAAAGCGTTTCAACCAGCCATTACAATGTAAGAAGCAACTACTTGTTGTTATTTGGCAATTATTACTTATACATTTGTAGCAAATAAGTGATCTAACAAATAACTGTTTTATAAGGGAATGTTTGAATATTTTCTGTATCTTTTTTCAGTAATGAAATGGTACTAAGATTTCTCCTACTCTCTTTGTCAAGTCAATCAGTGTGACTTTTTTTTTAAAGATCATCAGAAACTTAAGCATAGTTTCTTTAAATGGTGATCATATGGATGGATGGTGCCAACTGGAGCTAGTCTACTCATCACAGAGAAATAACATCTAATTTTAACTCTTTGATCTATAATGGATATTTCTTAGGCTTCACTTGGAGTACCTCAGATCTTTCTGATCTGAGTCTCTTTTGCTCTTGATTAGCAAAATACTCAGCTTTTTTCCTGGAGAGCTCCTGCCCCAGGTGTTCCTTCTAAAGGTCCGATGGAAATGGAAGTTTCTGAAGCCTTTCCATTTTTCTGCTTTGCTGAGCCGTTTGGCTTGCTCATTGCTCGTCCTGTCTCTTTACTGCTAACTCCATTGCCCTGTGCTCTCTCCAGTTAGCAGAGCAGTGCTGTTGGCTCATTCTGTCCAGAGAGGTTTCCCACAATGCAGAGCTGGGCCCCTAGTGGCACAGTTCTTTCATTTATATGCTGCCTTCTCCTTCCAGTAGTGCGCAGTCCCCTTGCTTAGTAACTGATAGCATTACCTCCCCAGTCAGCAGGCCTTGCTGATCAGGCTCTGCCAAACTGATGTTTCATTGTGCTTTTTCTCTCACATGTCCATTGTCTTTCTTTTCCTAGTCCATTAGACAGGTCTGTACAATAGTGACTAAGTTCAAGTGCTCTTCCACAGGGCTTCTGGGTCTGATGAAAATCAAGGGGATATTAACCAAGCATCTTTTTTGGTATCTCTGAACATGTTGTGATTGTTCCAGAGTTCATCTAACAATCCCTGACAATTTTGAAGCTGGTTTGTACATAGAATGAGTGGTACCACTTCACGCTGACCTACCAAAATACTATAGCATACCTACATACTCACGATTCACTACTGTATCCCCTGTACCTGTAAGAGTACTGGCACTTGGTAAATATTGGTGGAATTACTGAATGACTGAACTAATGATACACATCATTTAACTTTTTAATGAGCTCTATATCACTATTGTTACAAAGAATTATTCTATATAATAAAGCTGTGTCCATGAAAGTGAAGAAGACTTGAAGCACTTGCTGATGAAGATCAAAGACTACAGCCTTCAGCATGGATTGCATGTCAACATAGAGAAAACAAAAATCCTTACAACTGGACTGATAAGCAACATCATGATAAACGGAGAAAATATTGAAGTTGTCAAGGATTTCATTTTACTTGGATCCATAATCAATGCCCATGGAAGTAGCAGTCAAGAAATCAAAAGACATACTGCATTGGGCCATTCTGCTGCAAAAAACCTCTTGAAAGTGTTAAAAGCAAAGATGTCACTTTGAGGACTAAGGTGGGCCTGACCCAAGCCATGGTGTTTTCAATCGCCTCATATGAATGCGAAAGCTAGACAATGAATAAGGAAGATTGAAGAAGAGTTGATGCCTTTGAGTCATAGTGTTGGCGAAGAATACTGAATATACCATGGACTGCCAGAACAAACAAATGTGTCTTGGAAGAATTATAGCTAGAATGCTTCTTAGAAGCAAGATGATGAGACTTCGTTTCACATACTTTGGACATGTTATCAGAAGGGACCAGTCCCTGAAGGACATCATACTTGGTACAGTAGAGGATCAGTGAAAAAGAGGAGGACCCTCAACGATACGGACTGACACAGTGTCGGCAACAGTGGGCTTAAGCATAACAACAATTGTGAGAATGGTGCAGGACCAGGCAGTGTTTTGTTCTGTTGTGCATAGGGTGGCCATGAGTCAGAACCGACTCTGGCACCTAACAACAACATGTCCATTTTCAGCTGAATGGCAATTTTAAAAGTCGGTTTTAAGGAATTTTTTTACAGTAACTGGTTCTGTGCAATAGACTTTGTTTTTGCCAACCTTGGAAACCCACCCCTTCCATCCCTGAGTGCTGCCCCCACAGGAGCAACAACAGCTTTCACGACATTTGGCTATTTCTTCTGGAATTTACTACTATGTTTCTAAGCTTATCTATACTAACATTTCTGGGGTGTTAAGTTTTAGAAATTATTTGTAGACTTGTTATAAAATATAAGGATTTAGTTCTTATGCTGCTGTTCCCACCTATTCTTCCTCTCTCTCATTCTCCTGCTAAAGTTACATCACAATGTTTGTTTGCTTTATTATGACTATTTAAATATTCTTCACAGGTGAGCCATGTATGATTGTTTTTCTCGTACAAACGTCCTAATTTTTCATTTCCTTGTTTTTTAATCTCCTAAACTTACTGACAAAGCTATAAAATGACTCCCAGGATGGTCAAACACATCCATCCCTCCCCCCCGCCCCTTGGGGCTTTCCTGTGGTGCTCCATCCTTCTCCTTTAATTCTGAATTGGCAGTTGTCAAGACCTGCACCGTAGTTATCCTGGGACTACTCTTTCACCTTCCTCCTGGGCTGGCATTCCTGTTTGATCCTTCATTTTCCTCTTTGTTCATTTGCTCGTTCATTTTATTGTAGCACATCTTTTAGGAGCTTCTTAAGAAAGGGTGCATGGGAGCTAAATCTTTTATGACTTTGTGTGTCTAAAAATATATTTATTCTACTCTCATGTTCATAGTTTGTTTAAATATTGAATTTTAGTTTGGAAATAATTATCTTTCAGAATTTTAAAGATTCGTTACCTTCTAGGTTCTAGAGTTATTCTTGAGAAGTCTGATTTCATTCAGATGTCCAATTTTTCATGTGTTATTTATTCTTACTTTCTGGAAACCTTTAGAATCTTCTTTTTATTTTCAGTGATCTGAAATTTCTTGATAATGTTTGTGTTTTGTTTTTGGTCTCCTCATTCATCATGTAGGGCACTCTAATCCTTCAGTTCTAGGAAATTTTCTTATATGACTTCTTTTATTATTTCTTCCCCCTCCATTTTCCCTGTTCTCTCTTCTAGATCTCTTGTGATTTGGATGTTGGACCTGATCCTCTAATTTAAAAAGATCTATTCTCTCCTATTATATATCTCATTGTCTTTTGTTCTATTTTCTGAGAGACTTCCAGAAAAATATGTTTCTAGTTCCCATTTTTCCCCCTGCTTATTTGTTTTGGCTGCTGTCTTTCATGATGTTGGCTTTGCTCTAATGTCTGGTGATCTTTGGCTGTCCATTTATATAAGGGAACCTATGATGAATGATGCATTAAAAAGATTGGAAGTTCTGTTGACTGTTTTGCTTCATTATAGGGTTATTCAGTGGGGACCTGGCCATTTCATTAATTAAGCTTAACTATTTCTCTTGAAGGAACCCTGGTGACACAGTGGTTCATCGCTCGTCTGCCGACTGAAAGGTTGGCAGTTTGAACCCACAAGCCACTTCACAGGAGAAAGACTGTGGCAGTCTGCTTCTGTAAAGATTACAGCCTTGTTAACCCTGTCTAAAGAGTCGCTGTGAATCAGAATTGACTCAATGGCAAGGGTTTTTTTTTTATTTCTCTTGAGGTAAATCCTCCAATCTTGTGCCTGGCAAGAGATAGACACTAGCTGCTTATAATCTGGGACCTAAGTAGGGAGAAAACCAGGAATCTTATGTGTTCAATATGATTTATTTGATTTATCCTCTGTTTCAGTCTCTTACCATACTCCTGTTCTGATTTGTGCCTAGTATTCTCTAGTCCTAAGCCTCTTTGGCTCAGTTTCTCTAGAGATTAAATATCCTCCCTTCTGCCTGGGTAGAGAAGGGGTGGTCACTGGGTTGCACAGGACGAGGATATAAGTCTTTGTGGTGTGTGCCATACCCCTGCTTTCAGAGGTATTTGGTACCTCCAATTTTTGAATATTTTTGGAAGTTCTGAAGTGCAAATAAGCTCACTTCCTATTGAATTCTCATCATACAGTGAGGTTTCAAATTTCTATGACCTGCTAAGACAATTACCATTTGACATCTGTTTTCCATCTTGAAAAAAAATTATCATCTTTATTTTTTGCTCTACTTGAGGTTTTATGCCTTATTTTTATTCTTTTATTACCATTCTATTGAAGCTTTGGAGAGACAGCATGTAAAACCGTATATTCAATTTTCCATGTTAACCAGAATCCCTTCATATTTTTCTTTACAGTGAAAAATGACAGTTCTGTGTCATCTAAAGAACCACAGGAACTTGTCAGGTAAGTTTTTCTTTACACAATTCTATGTAGATTTATTTACTAAAAGGATTATTGATTTAAACTGTTTATATTTTCTATCATGATTGAATTTTTTTTTAATCTAGAAAAGGAGGTAGGTATCTTTCTCTTACAATACCTTTTTAAAGAGTTGGCTTTAGGAAAAATGTGGAAAATTATTAGTTCTTTCTGAACCAGCAAATTAAAATTGAATGTAACTATATTAACCTGGCCATTTTTATTTTTATTTTTTAAATGGAAAAAAATGTGATAAGCACAAACCATTATAGATTATAAAAATCCAAGTAATTAAGGAGAAGATAGATTATAGAGGAAAATAGAGTTAGGGCGAAAGCCATTGCATCATTTGAGAGACAACCTAACAATGTGGTAATTCAGCCATTAACACTTGAGCAATGTATAGGCCTATACTCTTATATATGGTTCTGCAGCATTTTGTCCTTGAGCATTTCCTCACTCAATGAGATACAGAAAACCACCAGCTAACGTTGAAGTAATGCTTCAGCTCATGTTTCCCTGACTGGCCTTATATGAAAGATGAATAAAATTAGGTAACATAAGTGGCTTCTGTTTGTGAGTAGTACAGTAGTTTGGGATTCAGTAGTGGGACATTGTTGTTTTAAGGGTCATTAAGTCATTTAGACTCATAGTGACCCCATGTGACAGAGTAGAACAGCCCTACAGGATTTTCTAGGCTATAATCCTCACAGGAGCAGATTGCTAGGTCTTTCTCCTGCAGAGCTACTTCGTTGTTGTTGTGTGCCATCGCGTGGATTCCAACTCATAGTGACCCTATAGGACAGAGTAGAACTGCCCCGTAAGGTTTCCAGGGAGTGGCTGGTGGATTTGAACTGCCATCCTTTTGGTTAGCAGCCTGAGCTCTTAACCACTTCACCATCAGGGCTCCACAGAGCCACTAGGTGGATTTAAACCGCCAACCTTTCATTTAACAGTCAAGCGCTTAATCATTGCACATCAGGACTCCTTATAAAGCATCATACACAATAAAATACAAGGAGTAGAGTGGTGAGTAAGAAGGGTACATCCTCTTGCTTTTACTGAGAAAGTATAAGATAGAACATAAGCACAAAAGTTAGTAAATAAGAAACATATTAAAAAGTATTATAAAGAGAATTGACTATGGTAATATGAGTAGCTGGCTGGCTACCTAAGTGATTAATAAAGATTTCTCTGAAGAGGTGATGTTTAAGCTGGGATATAAATTATAAGGAATCTTCCATGCAAACTTTAGGAGAGGAGCATTCTAAGCAGAGGGAATAAATAATGCAAAGACCCTAAATTGGATAAAAGCATGGTGTGTTAGAGGATCAGAAAAAGACCAGTGTAGCTGGAACATGGCAAAGGAGTAAGCCAATCAGGGTAGACGATGAAGTAAGAGAAGTAGGAAGGGGCCAGATCACTTAGGGCTTTATAAACCTGGGAAGGAATTTGGATTTTATTATACTTGTGGTGGGAATTTGAATATAATCAGATTTACATTTAAAAAGCACTACTTTAGCTGCTGTGTGGGAAATATGTTGTGAGGGATACAAAAGAAGAAGAATTTAGTAAGATATTTCATTAGAGCAGGGGAGAGATGGTGGTTTGGACTAGGATTGGAGGCATAGATATGGAAAGGGATAAAAGTGAATAAAGTAAATAAATTAAAAATATAGTTTGAAGAAGCCTTAACTGATCAGATGTGGTATGTGAGAGAAAGTAGAATTAAGGATAATGACTAGATTTTGGTTTGCGCTGTGAGCAGTGCAATCATTTACTGAGATGGGGGAGATCAGAAAAGACACAGGTTTTAGGGTATAAATAAAGAATTTTGTGTAGGTCAATGTTGTTTTTTTTTTGTCAGGTGCCATCGAGTTGGTTCCAACTCATAGCGACCCTATGTACAACAGTACAAAATACTGCCTGGTTCTACACCATCCTTACAATCGTTGTTATGCTTGAGTGCATTGTTACAGCCACTGTGTCAATTCATCTCAGTGAGGGTCTTCCTCTTTTACACTGACCCTCTACTTTACCAAGTGTTATGTCCTTTTCAAGGGACTGATCCCTCCTGATAACATATGATAACTGTGTAGATCATAACAAATTATGGATAACATTGCGAAGAATGGGAATTGCAGAACACTTAGTTATGCTCATGAGGAACCTGTACATAGATCAAGAGGCAGTTGTTGGAACAGAACAAGGGGATACTGCATGGTTTAAAGTCAGGAAAGGTGTTCATCAGGGTTGTATCCTTTCACCATACTTATTCAATCTGTATGCTGAGCAGATAATCAGAGAAGCTGGACTGTATGAAGAAGAACAGGGCATCAGGATTGAAGAAAGACTCATTAACAACCTGCGATATGCAGATGACACAACCTTGTTTGCTGAAAGTGAAGAGGACTTAAAGCACTTACTGATGAAGATCAAAGACCACAGCCTTCAGTATGGATTACCCCTCAACATAAAGAAAACAAAAATTCTCACAACTGGACCAATAAGCAACATCATGATAAATGGAGAAAAGATTGAAGTTGTCAAGGATTTCATTTTATTTGGATCCATGATCAACACCCATGGAAGCAGCAGTCGAGAAATCAAACGTTGCACTGCCTTGAGTAAATCTGCTGCAAAAGACCTCTTTAAAGTGTTGAACATCAAAGATGTCACTTTAAAGACTAAGGTGTGCCTGATCCAAGCCATGGCACTTTCAGTTCCCTCATATGGATGCGAAAGCTGAACAGTGAATAAGGAAGACTGAAGAAGAATTGATGCCTTTATGGTGTTGGCGAAGAATATTTAACATACCATTGTCATGGATTAAATTATGTCCCCCCAAAAATGTATCAACTTGGGAAGGTCATGATTCTCAGTATTGTATGATTGTCTACCATTTTAACATCTGATGTGATTTCCCTATGTGTTGTAAATGCTATCACTATGACGTAATAAAATGGATTAGCAGCAGTTATATTGTTGAGGTCTACAAGATTAGGTAGTGTCTTAAGCCAGTCTCTTTTGAGATATAAGAGAGAAAAGTGAGCAGAGAGACATGAGAACCTTATACCATCAAGAAGGCAGTGCCAGGAGCAGAGCATGTCATTTGGACCTGAGGTTCCTGTGCAAAGAAGCTCCCAGACCAAGGGAAGATTGCTGACACGGACCTTCCTCCAGAGCCAACAGAGAAAGTGTTCCCCTGGAGCTGACACCCTGAATTTGGACTTGTAGCTTACTGGACTGTGAGAGAATAAATTTCTCTTTGTTAAAGCCATCCACTTGTGGTATTTCTGTTATAGCAGCACTAGATGACTAAGACAACCGGGGACTGCCAGAAAAACAAATCTGTCTTGAAAGAAGTACAGCCAGAATGCTGCTTAGAAGCTAGGATGATGAGATTTTGTCTTACATGCTTTGGACATGTTATCAAGAGGGACCATTCCCTGGAGAAGGACATCATGCTTGGTAAAATAGAGGGTCAGTGAAAAAGAGGAAGATGCTGTACACGCTGGATTGACACAGTGGCTGCAACAGTGGGCTCAAGCATAACAATGATTGAGAGGCTGATGCAGGACCAGGCAGCATTTCATACTGTTGTAAATAGGGTCGCTATGAGTCAGAACTGATTTGACAGCATCTAAAGACAACAATCTTTATGGAAACAGATTACCAGGCCTTTTCTTCCAAGGTGCCACTGAGTGGGTTCAAATTGCTAACTTTTGATTACCAGTCAAGTTCAAATCATTTGGGCCACACAGGGACTTTAAGATTGGTTTAACTTTAATAAATTAATCACTGTCAATGACCACATTAACCAAATAAAGGGGAAAACCATAAAATTATCTCAGTGAATTCAGAAAAAGTATTTGTTGACATTTATAACCCATTCATGATAAAAATTCTCAGAATACTAGAAGTAGAAGGGAAATCCTTTAGTACAAGAAAGGGAATGTATAAAAATCCAACAGCCAGCTTCATACTTAAATGTGAAGTGTAAAGTGCTTTTCCCTTGAGTTTAGGAACAAGATAAGCATGTCCACTATCACTTCTGTTCAAGATTGTACTGGAGGTTCTAGTCAGTGCAATCAGGTTGAAAAGAAATAAAAGTTATAAAGGTTAGAAAGGGTGAAATAAAACCATCTTTATTCACAGAGAACACAATTGTGTACATAGTGAAATTCAATTAAGTATAAAAGCATGAAAATTAGTAAGTGAATTTAGCAAGGACCATGGATACTAGGTAAAGATTTAAAAATCGGTTATTTTATATACTAACAATCAACAAATAGAAAATGAAATTTTAAAATACCACTTACGAGAGCACCAAAATGTAACAAAAATGCATAAGACCTCTGGACTGAAAACCACAAAATATTTCTGGGAGAAAGTTTAAAAGACCTAAATAAATAAGAGACAGACACAGTATTTGTGGTTTGGGAAAGACTCAATATTAATACAATGTCAATTCTTCCCAAATTTATAGATTCCATTCAACCCCAACCAAAATCTCAGCACTTTTTCTTTTCCTGGAAATTGACAAGCTAGTTCTAAAATGTATATAGAAATATAAAAGGCCTGGAATAACCATGTCAGTATAGAAGAACAAAGTTAGAGAACTTACACTCCCAGATATTAAGACACGCTTAGAAAGCTACAGTAAGCTTCACTCTGATTAGATCATTTGAGGTCCCTAAACTAATCACCATGGTCAGACAGCCCTGAACCCATCAGGCCCCTGGTTTAGAACTAGGTGTGGGATCAGTCTCATTCAGACCACATGGCTTCTATGTAATGGGGGGAAAGAATGGAATTTCTGTTGGGGAGGCAACCACAATGTCCATTTACAACAATCTTCATAGAGAAGATAATATTTTTACTGGAACTGAATCTTGATGAGTAGGAATTTCACAGACACAGAAAAGATTTTCTAGATAAAACTGCTTGTGCAGATACAGAAGTGTGATATTACGGTAAGTTTAGGAATGGCAGGAAGTTCTGTGTAATGGAGTCTGTAGATGTGGGGATGAATAACGAAGAAAAGGCTGGAAATGGCCAGATGGTGAAGAGTCTTGGATTCTGTTTGAAAGTGTTTAGACTTCATCCTATAGAATTAGATAGCCAAAAGTGGTTTTTAAGAAGAAGGGTGATAACCTGGAATAGGGAGAGACTGAGCATAGGCAAACAATTAGAGAACTGTTAGCATTTGCAGGAGAGACATCATGAGGTACTAATCCAAGGCAATTGAGAAGCCCAGCTGACACTGACTAGGTGCTAAACTTCCTGCTTGACTCTTTTCATGCATTAGGGTCATCGAATGTTCACAACAACCACATGAGAAAGTTCTAACTCTTAGTTTTATAGATGAGAAAACAAGCATAGAAAGTCAGGTAACTTGCCCTGGCTCACACAGCTAATAAGTAGTGATACTAGAGTGTGTTTTAACCCAGGCCGGATGATTCCAGAGCCTGTACTTTTAGCCATGACAGTACACAACTAGATCACGATGGACAGGAAGATTCCATCCAGAGATTTAGGCTTTGCTTATGGCTAGATGTTACTTCCATGAAATGGCACTCCTCTGAATCTCTTTTACCCTTAATGATTCTTTCTGTTTCTTTCACTGGCTCCTCTGAACTGTGAATTGGATTCTGCTCTTTCTTTTCTAAACAGTTAATCCTTTGGAGTTTGTTTTCCTAATGGCTTCATCTATCAGCCTTTAGGTTGATTTACCCCAATCTCTTCTTTCCAGTCTCAGTTTCTTAATCACACACCTAAAGGCCATTTCCACTTGCCTGTCTTATCATCACCTAAAACCCATGTCTGAAATCAAACTCGTCTTTTACTTCACTTTCACTTGATACTTTCTATTAATAGCAAAACTTCTTCCATGCTTTAGAATATTTGACCCTCAAATTTCTTAACCTTTCATACCCTATCAAGCAATCCATTCTGTCAATTCATTCGCATTGTCTCTTAGATTCACCTCCTCCCCTTTGTAACCTTTGCTCTGACCCTAGCATTAGCTCTCAGTATCTCCTGCATTTGTTCCCTAACTGGTCCTCCACATGTAATCTCCCTTATATTATCCACCCCATGTACTAATGCCAGAGTAAACTCTTGTTCAGACACTGATTTCATAATTTATTTGCTTTATTCAAGAAGTTCTATTGGCTCTCTATGACCTAATGAATCAAGTCTACTGAATCAACTCTAACCTGTCCTTTGCCTAAATTTGATGGCCCCGCATTGTCTGATTTCACTTGCTTTATCAAATTCCCACTCCTCTGAATTTGGAACTCTTCACTCTGGTCAATTGTCTCTTTACTATCATTCCTTCCTCCAATAGCCTCTATATGTACGTTCCCATGTAAGCTATTGCTAATACTGTTTCCCTGGCTGTCATGGATTGAATTATGTCCCTCAAAAAATGTGTGTGTCAATTGGCTGGGCCATGATTCAAAGTATTTTGTGGTTGTTCTCCATTTTGTAATTTTATGTTAAAGAAGATTAGGGTAAGATTGTAACACCCTTACTAAAATCCCATCCCTGATCCAATGTAAAGGGAGTTTCGCTGGGATGTGGCCTGCACCACCTTTTATCTTACAAGAGATAAAAGGAAAGGGAAGCAAGTGGAGAGTTGGTGTCCTCATACCACCAAGAAAGCAGTGCCCGGAGCAGAGCACGTCCTCTGGACCTGAGGTTTCTGCAGTCAGATGCTCCCAGAACAAGGGAAGACTGATGACAAGGACCTTCCTCCAGAGCCAAAAGAGAACGCCTTCCCCTGGAGCTGACGCCCTGAATTTGGACTTGTAACCTACTAGACTGTGAGAGAATAAATTTCTCTTCGTTGAAGCTATCCACTTGTGGTAATTTCTGTTATAGCAGCACTGGATGACTAAGACACTGGCCTAGAATGCTCCTTCCTTTTTTGAAGTCCCATATCCCAAGTGACTCTTTTTCTAATGGCTTCAAGACACAGTCTTATCTCCATCCTCCAACTTCTTTTGTACTTATTACTACTGCAAAAGAAATATCCATAATTGTATTCTCCAAATGTCTGTGCTAAATGATGTGTACTTTATTATGTTAGTATCTAAAGCTGTTCTATTTAATAGTCTAGTTATATATCTTATTTTCCCAACAGGATAATAAGCTCTATTCGGTTTAAAATTATGTCTTCTACTTTTTTATATTCATAATGCCAATAATAATACTCAATAAATTTCTATTATTGGTTGAAAGTGTAAACACATGCGTTTTTTTTACACTGTAGGTATATATCCCTGTAGGCTTAGTAGTTTAGTTAAATAATAGTAAAATGTAGTTACTATTCTCTCATTTTAAGGAGCTGTTTCCTTTATAGAATTGAAAATGCAAATATTCACCAATGTTTAAGACATTCAGCTTTGTATATCCAAACTCAACCACAGTTATACCTTTTAGGGTAATATTTTTAATTGTTCTGGGGGAAAAAAAAAAAAAGAAAACCCCTGAAGGCTAACAGTTTGAAATTGAACAGGACACCCTTGGGAAGGGAGAGGGTCATGGGTCGTCCTCAAACAGACAAAAAACAATGGAGACGATTGTGCCTGAAGATGGTGTATTTTTTTTCGCTAGACAGTGTGTTGACAGTTTCCTTCCTCTTGGGTCATTGTTGTCTGCTAAATGATCTGTGACAGCAAATTGATCACAAGCTTTTTCATGCAGGAGATATAATGCAGCCTTTCATTTTGTTACCTCGGTCGCCAAATGCCGAAAACATTTAGTTGGCAAATTAATGTTAGTTTAGTATATCATTTAGTAGTATAAAGCACTGCATGAAGCTCTGGAAGCAATAATAGTAATGATTAATTTATCTTTACCAAGTTTCAGATTTCTACTTAAGTGTGATTGTAAAAGTAATAAAACATTTGAAAAATACTAGTATTAAAATTAGGTCTCAGTAATTGTGGTTTAAATAAATGAATGTATTAACACATTTCCATATTGCCCCCATTAATTTGAAAATTGAGTCAAATACTTACTTTACAGTTCCTAGAATTTACCTAAAAAATTAAAGCTAATTTATTTGTTCTAAGTGAAAAGTTGCTTCTTTCTCCAAAGAGCTAGGAATTTAAATTGGAAAACAGGCATAAGGTCTTTAAGATTTGATATCTAGACATCTATTTAAGCCAGTTAATTGATGATTTCACATGTCTGAAAAATATCCCAAAGTGAGGTTTTGTTTATAGAGTGTTGAGAATCTCTGTTTTAAAAAAATTTGTAGGTACGGAGTTTCTGTTTGGGGTGATGAAAAGTTTAGAACCAGGTAGTGGTGATAGTTTCACAATATTGTGAACATAAAAACTACTTCTCAATTGTACACTTAAGAATGGTTAAAATGGAAAATTTTATGTTTTATACATATAACATAAATATATATATAACATATATATATATAACCAGAATAATTTTTTTTGGTTTGTAGGAAAAAAAAGCTGGAAATACAGTTATTTGACTCCTTTTTAGTTCCTGTTTAACACTTTATAACAATCTTTGCTATCCTATTAGGACATAGTAATATTTAGTACAGGGAAGGAAAAGTATAGGCAGGAATATTAGAAAAGTACTGTTTTCCCCCCTTTGAAAGTGGCCATAGTCTATGTAAAATTAAACCAATCTCAATTCTGATGCTTTTATTCTCTCCTTATGATAAAAAGAAAGTAAACGTGATTTTACTAAAATTTGGAATAGACATTTAAGAAAATTTTTTATTGTAGAATGAGAAAACTTATAGATACAATACTTTTCCTAAAGATCTTTTTTAATGTGAGTCATGACAGATAGATAATTTAAACTTATATTTTCCTTTTCATGATGTACACATGGGTACACATTTACATTCATTATTGAAAAATGATTTGAACAGATGTTCTCATATGTGATTTGATTTTCTAGTGTTGAAATGAATATGTTAGATATACCATAAAATTTGCAAATTGGTCTAACGTCTTGTGACAAGATATTGCTCTCTGAACAGTATACTCTGATAAAATAATTTTAAAAATAAAATTTGTAAACTACTTATTGTCTGATTTTAATTAATATTTCCAGATCAGTTAAAGCTATTTCATTTAATGATTACTACAAGACATGGTCTGTAATAGCCACGTCAAAAGCCACAGAATATTACAGAACTCCAGGTAAGGTGATCTAGCCTTATCCTATGTCCTTCTGGTATATACTAATCTCAGTTATTCTCAGCTTGTCTTGCTTTCAAAGACTAATTGACACATATTTGCAGTGTGAGGGTGATAAACGTTTCTGTTGGCTCTGTACATTTATTCATTCAACAAGTATTAATTTAGATCCTCTTTTGTATTGAACCCTGGACTGAAGTCTGATTAAAAGCCAAAAGGAAAGATAAGCAATTGGAGGAATAAAAGATGAAGTTCTCAATCTTATGAAGTTTACTTTACTCCCTTCACCCTAGAAAGAAGCCTTCACAGCAGGAGGAAACCTTTTTTATTCTAAGCCTAATTATCCTCTAAGCTAGAAAAAGTATTAAGTAGAAAGACAGCAAGAAAACCTATGAACCTAGCTAGGGCTGCTCAATTATATCAGTCTCAGAGGAGAAAAACATCTGTTGCCATCATACCAACACCCATTGCTGTCAAGTCGATTCTGATTCATGGTGACCCTGTGTGTTAGAGAGTAGAACCGCTCCATGAGGTTTTCTTGGTTGTAATCTTTGTGGAAGCAGTTCTTCCACGGAGCTACTGGGTAGGTTCTATCACAAATCACTTGTGCCACTCGGGGGAATTTTTACCATCATACATTAGGAACTAAAAAGACAAAATGAGACAGCTGGATAACTTCCTGGTCCTATTTAATCGGATCTTCAGAGTACTATTTCATTATTTGGATCGGAGAAGTTTCCCCAGTCCACACATGCTTACTGAAATGTGATTTTGCCTCAGCCATCTGCTAAAATGGTACATTCTAAAGTTACCAGTGACTTCCTAATTCCCAGATTCAGTGATTACTTTTTAGTCCTTACCTGACTTGAACTCTCATCAGCTACACCTTTCTTGACTTACAAGACATCTTATGCTCATGGTTCCCCTCCTCCTGTCTGAGCGCTCCTCTGCCTCTTTCCTTAGCAATTCCTTCTTCATTCAGTCCTCTCTCTGCACTATTTCTGGAGGACCTCATCCACTGCCATGGTTTTCATTACTCTACAGTCCAGTGATCCTAAAAGCTACATCTCTAGCCAGACCTCTCTTCTGAATTCTATACACATACTTACAACTGTGCATTGGACATCTCAGCTACACATGTTACAGACATCTCATACTTAAGATGCCCCAAACTGAATTCATGATCTTCCCCCTAAAACCTGCCCTTCCTCCTTTATTACTTCTCTTGGTTAGTGGTAGATCACCATTCTTGCAGCGACTTGCCCAAGCCAGGATCATAGAAGTTACCCTACGCTTCTTTATCTCCCTCATTAAACCTTGTTGATTTTATCTGCTGCAACTCCATGAATGCTTCTTTTCCACTCCTATGACTATTCCCTTCATTTGGGGCCCCTTTGTATCTCGTTGAATCTTTGTGACAGTCTCCCAATTGGTTGCAAGGGAACAAAATATCACACACAAAATAGTAGTTTTATTAAGGCATAAATCAAGGCAAATAGTGGTAAGAGCTTAACAAATATATATAGATATATACAGGAGCCCTGGTATCACAATGGTTAGAGCTCAGCTGCTAACTGAAAGGTCAGCAGTTTGAATCCACCAGTCGCTCCGTGGGAGAAAGGTGTGATAGTCTGCTTCCATAAAGATTACAGCCTTGGAAACCCTGTGGGGCAGTTCTACTCTGTCCTATATGGTCGCTATGAGTCGGAATCGACTGGTTGGCGACAGATTTATATATATATATATATATACACACAAAGATATAAAGCGTATTTTTACTTGAGATCATTAAGAATCAAATGTTCTTGCAGGGCGTTAATTATTAATTTGTTTGGCAATCACCCATTGCCTTCTCCCTTACTCATACATCAGTGGTTAAGAAAAGTTGCTTAAGGTCTTTGGCAGCTCTATCAATATAAAAAAAATATTTTTGATACAAGGATATATGAATGTTTACTTCATCCAAAGATTTGTGACTGGGTGCTGCTTACCGAATTCAGTAAACATGTTTTGAGCACCTACTACGTGTGAGGCACTGAGGAACTCAAATGAGTTCCAAGAGGTGATGGCCCTTAATGCACACACACGGTGCTGACAGACATTAGCACACTCTAGGGAGCAACTCGGTGTCAAAATACTCCAACTAAAAAACAAACAGATGGTTACAGGATGGTACTTAAATAATAAGAAGAAAAAAGAGCACATGCCAAAGCATAAGACAAGGAGGGAAGGAGTGTCTTACCGTAAACAACAATTAAGTTCTTTCTCAGTTTCTTCCTCAGAAGAGTTTGACCCCAAAATGTTTAATTTTGTGTTGCTTCTACATCTGTCACTAACCTAGTTTATAGTTCATCCCTCTCTTTGAAGGCAGTAGCTGGTAATGGTTATCTCTAGCCCAGAAGAATTTCTGAGGCTTTGATTATAGCACTTGGTGCCAGATTTCACAATCACCCTGCCTCTTCTTCCCTGAGGGGGTTGTTATGTGAATGTTTCAAGAGGTTTTTTTCGATAATAACCAGCACTTAATTTTAAAAAATTAGATGTAAACCTTACATGTGCTGCTGGCCATTTTGTCTTTGGATAGTTCAGCTGGATGATCCATTACTATCTTTTTTAACAGCCTAATTTCCTGGCAATAATAAAGATGAAGCTTTTAGATTATAGAACGTTTCTTCAACAATGCAGTAATAAGAGAAACCTCTGATAACTTCATTTTCTACAGTTATATTCTTATCACTGAAAATATTATTAAACTCGTGCATATTTTTAAGAGCTCTATCTTTTATGAGTAGTGATGTGTAGTTATATTTTGATTTTTGGTATTAACTCTTATCTATATCTTCATGCCTGCAAATCTATAATAGTCATTGGTGCTATAATAACAGTAAGTTTATTCTTGTACAATGCAATTTACAGAGTGTGCTCACATATAATACATTTTTAAACCTTCCCAATTCATCATTCTTTTATTCATTTATTCAACCAACATTTATTAAGCACTTAGTGTATGTCACGAATGGAGCCCTGGTGGCGCAGTGGTTAAGAGTTCAGTTGCTAACCAAAAAAAGATCAGCTGTTTGAATCCACCAGCAGCTCCTTGAAAACCCTATGGGGCGATTCTACTCTGTCCTGTAGGGTCACTATGAGTCGGAATCGACTCGACAGCAATGGGTTTGGTTTTGATTGGGTTTATATTCATAAATAGTGGTATATAAACTCTATGAGCTAGGTATTATTATTATTTTACCCTGTTTTACAGATAAGAAAACCAAGACCAAGAAAAGTCAAGTGATTTATCAAATTTCACACATGTGAGAGAGAGTATCATACATTGGTAAATTCTGGAGCCAGATTGACTGAGTTGAATCGTGGCTCTGCCATTTACTAGCTGTGTGACCTTGCATATTTTTCTTAATCTCTCTTTATCTAGTTTCCTCATCTGTCAAATGAGGATAATCACAGTACATACCTCATAGGTTTGGCACATGTGAGTGTTCAACAAATGCGGCTACTATGAAGTAGTAGTTCAAGTAGGCAGTGGCTACAGAATTTGAACTCAGATCCTCTGACTCCACATTTATTGCTCTTAGCTTCGCACTCTACTGCCTCCACAATATGGTATAAAAGTGTTATCTCTCTATAGCACGAGGTTCAAATTCAAACTCTGAAGTGTATGCAGTACGTTTTTTTATAATTATTAGTTCATACTGTATGTAATCATAGGCAATCATCTGGGAAAATATACTGATGATCCACTATTCTCTGTCCGTCACTATAGAATAAAAGGTTTGGCAGAGAACAAACCAATACATATGGTTGTGGGCAACAGCGCCTTAATGACAGAATATGATCCCCATAAGGAAATGTTTATGTTTGAGGAAAATAATTCCTTCAGAGCAGTGTACTCTGTAAGACTGAGCAGAGGCTTCCTGATGTTTGTTTGCTGTCATCAAGACAGACCAAACAGCTTGAAGCATCATGAAGATGCTTGCTTTCACCCTAGGAGACTTTCATTCTTTGAGTCTTTAAAGCCAGCAATGAGGGCAGGTTTCTCGAAAATGCCTTTGGAGGCAAAAGGTTATATCATCTAATTCTAATGCAACGGTTCTCAGCCTTGGCTGCTCGTTAGAACCACCTGAGGAGCTTGTAAAAATTCCAGTGTAAAGGGCACACCCCAGACCAATTACATCAGAATCTCTGGGAGTGGGACCAGGCAGCAGTAGTTTTTAAAGCTCCCCAGGTGATTACAATATGCAGCCAAGGTTTAGAACCACTGCTCTAGTGGGAAGAGCATGATGTCAGAAATTACAAACTCCTTAATCCTATACTAGTTTTGCCATATACAGTTAAGTAAATTTAGGCTAGTCACTTAACTCTTTGCACCTCAGTTTACATTCTGCCCTGCCTTAAGTTGTCCTAAGGTTAGTATGAGATAGTATGTGAGAAAATAAAACATGATAAGGCAAGTTGAGGCTATTACATTTCTTCGCGTGCTACAGTCCCAGCAGTGGGGAAAAAAAATTTCAGATAAACCTATGCAGCGTTGGATAAAAGATATGTCGTGAAGAAAACAAGAGTAGAAGCAGTGCCCAGTAATTCTCAGAAAGAATAGGGAAAGAAGAAGGGGCAATAGAGGACACTTTTCTACTACAGATTACAAAACTGACACAAGGTCAAGATATGGTTTTTCTTGTTAGTTGCCTTAGGGTCAGCTGCAACTCATGGCAACCTTATGTGAACCAGAAAAAAAACATTGCCCAGTCCTGTGCCATTTTCACTATCATTGATATGTTGGAGTCCATTATATATCAACAAATGTCATCATGAGAAAATTTCCAAGTCACAGTCTACCTATTTTAAATAATATCCAATATTACAAAATTCTAATATCAGGAGGAAGTTTGGAAAGTGTCTGAGCAGTGATAATATGATTTGACCTATATAGTGTATGTTATTGCCACATATTAAGAAGTGAATTATTTTAAACTTTGAACTATTATTAACGAATGTATGCATAGTTCATTTTTTTTAATACTCTAATTTCAGTGCTTCAAGATTCAGATTTCGTAGGAAAGTATTATAAACGGAAGAAAATTGATCTAAAACATCCTAAAGAATGGAGATTAAAGTAAGTAACTTGAAGTGTCTAGAATCCTATTAACTTGAAGTGTCTATTATTCCGTTTCTTCTAACTGAACTATAAGAGGAAAGAAAATCCTTTGGAAATAGTAATTTATACGCTTTTCTAAGCACAGGAACAAAAGAAACATTTTTCCTTTTCATATGAACCCAGGTGGGAAACATCTTTGCTACCTATTAGCTGCCAGGGATGGAGATAGGACATGAGCCACAGTGAAAGAATCCCACAATACTCTTCCCATTAATTCTCTCGCTCCTACTCCCATTATCCTTATCAACATGTACCTTAGAAATAGTAAAAAAAAAAAAAAAAAAACTACATGTATATCACCAACTTGTTTTTTATCCTTCTTATAGCTCCAAATATTTTTTCGTCTTCTACACACTTCCCAGTAAGGAACCAAAAATTTGAAATCTAATGAGGAAGTATTTAGTAAAATACAAAAGTCAATCATTACAATATCTTTAGAAATCATTGATTCTTAGACTAAAGGTGAAATCTTAATCTTCTCTTCCATCTCTTGACTACTGATGGTGTCTTTTCTGCTTTTTCATGCTAGAGTGAAGATTCTTTCTCATTTCTGTGGTACTGGCTATGTTGGAGTAATCATTTATTCCGGTGTGCTTATTTTGAAGTACTGTATTTTTACGCAAATAACACACGTCTTCTATGTTTGTTTGTTAACTATGCCTTCCTCCTGAGAGGTATTTTCATAAGTGCCACTGTGCCAATTCTTTTTTTAACATGTTGCTGTAAAAAAATTAACATAGCACTCTTTTGAAAATACTTTGCAGGGGGAGGGTGTGGTTAGCAAACAAAGCAGAAGGTGCACATTATTTGCATAAAATACAGTAGTCAATGAATTGCTGTTGTCATTAGTTGCCATCTAGCCAATTCCAACTCATGGGAACCCCGTGTGTGCAGAGTAGAACTGCTCCATAGGATTTTCAAGGCTGTGATCTTTCGAAGCAGGTCACCAGACCTGTCTTCAGAGGCACCTCTGGGTGGGTTCAAACTGCCAACCTTTTGGCTAGTGGTGAAGCACTTACCCATTTGCAGCATGCAAGGACTCCTAGTCCATGAATGCACTACCTTAAATCTAGGGGAATTAAAGATCCTATTTTTATTTTATCTGTTTTTTTTAACTCTTCAACATACTATTAGCAATGTGAACCCTTTTCTAGATGGAAATATAGATTAATAAAAAAACAATACACTGGATTCTGAATTTGGAGTCCCTGAGTGGTACAAACAGTTAACGTGCTCTGCTGCTAACGAAAAGGTTGGAGGTTTGAGTCCACTCAGAGGCACCTCAGAAGAAAAGCCTGGTTATATCTACTTGCAAAAATCCTACTGAAAATCCTATGGAGCGCAGTCCTACTCTGACACACCTGGTGTTTATAAAATCAAGATTGTTAAAATATACTTCCTACCCTTTAACATAATAGTTCATATTGTTTTGTTCAACTGGATTTTCTTTTTTCAATTTATTTCTGCAACAACTTTCCTTCAAGCCAACGTGGGGAAATGCTTTAGCATCAGATACTTTTCTGCCTTCAAAATAAATTATAGGCAGTAGAAAAGTTTTTATTAAGCAGAATTTGAAGGAGTACAAGTATGGGTTTTTTTGAAGGCACGTTTCAGGTTTCTTTTAGAGTTGAGGAAACCTACTTTGAATCTAAGGTTAATTTTGCTTTGACATGACTTCCTTTTTTATTTCCTTTAACAGAACTGCTTTGTTTTATGTGTGTGATCATTGATTCATTATGTATTGCCAGCATCCCACAGAAACCAAAAATTTAGAAAAAGTAGAACCATGTCATTTTCAACTTATCCATTCACTTCTACATATGGCTGAAATAATTGTGAACTGTTTGAGTGCTAGGACATTTTTCCAAATACATTATTTTGAAGTTGTAGGTCAAATTATCATGTGCATGGTGACCCTGTCAGAATAAAACGCTCACACCTTATGCCATCTGGTGGTTGATGAGAATATATTTAGGTCATGTGATATTTGCTTCTTTTAAATTTTGGAGTTATTAGTCAAAAAACACAGTTTGTAGTAACCTAGGTAAATAGAGTTTTAAAAAGATATATTTATCTGCATTTTATTGAAGCACAAATATTTGAGTATGCAAATGTGCAGAGAGGTACAGTAAAGGGCTCAAGAATTCTGAAATTCAACTTCTCTTCATATAATTATTAAGTCTTACATTCATCAGAATGCATGAGGTACTATAAAGAGGGAAGTTCATAAAGACTCAGGTATAAAATGTTTGGGGATCTATACAAGTGAATAATCAGTCTGTATGTGCATGTAATATAATATCATTGCACACCTTTCTGTTTTTGATTTTAAAAATGCTTTCTGTATACTGAAATTGCCTATTAAAAAAAAAAAAAAAAAACAGAAGAGGCAAATTGAGAACCTTTCATCTGCTGGAAAAAGAGACCTATCTCTCCAGCTTCCTATTCCTTTTCCTACCGTCCTTCCCTCCGCTCATCAATCAATACCCAATTCTCAAGCAACACTAATTTATTTCTTCTCAATATTCTTTGGGGACACAAGATCTCTTTACCGCTTTGTGCCTTCTGCCTGGAATAACTTTCGCAGCAGCGTCTTTGCTGGTGGTCTAGAGTTAGGATTTGGTCTGAAGTAGAAGACAGAATGTGGAGTGTTTAAGCCCAGAGGCACTGGAGCCAGACTGCCTGGATTTGAATCCTGGCTCTGCCAGCTGCCAGCTCTGTGACTTAGGCAAGTTATCTGACTTCTTTTTGCTTCACTTTCTTTATCTGTTAAATAAGAGTATAAAGTTTATCTACCTCCTAAGGAGATTGTGAGGACTAAGTAAAGTAATACGTATGAAGTGCTTCAAACAGTATCTGACACAGAATAAGTACTCATAAAAGTTAGATATTTTTCATGTTCTCCCTACTGTGGCCCCAGTTTAATTCCCAGATGAAAAAGTCTTTCTTTGGAGGCAGCGTGGGGAAAGAGCATGGGCTTTAGAGTCAGACAGATCTTGGAGAAATTCCTACCCGCTCTGAGTTTGTTTCCTTATCCTTTAAATGGAGATAATATTACTACATTGCACAGTTGTTGTTAGGCTTGAAAGAGATCATATATTAAGTAATCATACAGAGCTGGCAAATGGACATTCAGTAAATACTAATTCCTGAGGAGGGGGGAGACAAAAGCCCATGCCCCCAGCTTTTCAGAGAAAGATAGTCTGTGTCAGAAAGATGTAAAAACTGTACAATTTTCCCCGGTTAAGAAATAAACAACACCTATCATGCTCATGGAGCCCTGGTGGCGCAGTGGTAAGAGCTAGGCTGCTAACCAAAAGGTCAGCAGTTCAAATCCACCAGCCACTCCTTGGAAACCCTGTGAGGCAGTTCTACTCTGTCCTGTAGGGTTACTATGAGTCAGAATTGACTTGACAGCAACAGGTTTGGTTTGGTTTTGATTATCATGCTCATAAGGTTGGCTGTTCAAAACCACCATTGGCTCTGTGGGAGAAAGATGTGGCAGTCTGCTTCCGTGGAGATTTACCGCCTCGGAAACCCTATGGGGTCACTATGAGTCGGAATTGACTCGACGGCAGTCTTTGTTTTTAATCATGCTCGCATTTATTTTAGTCCTATTATGTCTGTGGTTCTGTTCCCTTATCCACTCCCCCTTCATCATCTCTGGCCAAGTGTTTTACCAGTTGATGTGATGATCCAGCTCAAATGTCCGCTCTGTGAAACTCTCCCTGACACATTTTGAGTTACTTCATCCTCTTCTTCCATAGCACTATGTCAGATCTCTTTTCAGCATGTGTGGTGTGGAGGTTTATATTCATGGAGAGTTACCGAGCCGGGGACATGATTGTAGCTTCGTGTTCTCTACCATGATGCCTGGCAAGTAGCAGGGACTCAATAAATGTGTGTTGAATGATGCATACTTATTTGTTTCCCCATTTAAGATAAACATTAAATGTGAAGGCAGGTAATTTTAGAAAAAAATAAAATTTAGGTACTGATTTCTATTAATGTCCATTCTAATACAGGGACTATGATTCTATTGAGGGAGTTCTAAGGGTATAGTCAGATATCAGTGATTGAAAACTGAACATATAAATGATTGTCCTAAATATTTTATGCAAATTATGAAGACTTTTACACGTGTTTTTAGTTAGTATTAATAGAAACCTATTGTCATAAGCAGCTCATAAATATTCATGAATTGATCGTTTGGTTTGGTGTTCATTTCTAAGGCCTTTTTTTCTTTCCTATTGCTGTGCCTGTCTTTTGGCCATTCATGCAAATGCTTTATTTCTACCATGACGTGGGAAAGAATATGAATCTAGAATCTAATCAGTAGTTCGTGTTTATTTTCTCTGAAGAAATAGTGAAAGATACATAATTAGAAAGTAGTACAAGCTTTTTTTTTTTAACGCTCTTGCTTGTGTACATATGAAACTATTTTTATGTCATACTCTATAGCTAATGATTATTTATATGGCAATGGAAAAAATCTATACCAGTAGTGTAAGCTTTGGCAGCCAGCAAGATTTATTTAAATAAAAGTTATAAATTCTGGAGTTTTATATTCTGTATAGCTTTAGCAAGGAATATTGCCCTTGCCTACATATAGGAGGTCTAGAGGGGAACAGGAACGAACATGGTCAAGCGCCTACTCTGTGCCAACATTCCTTCTTCATTTCCTAATGTAATGCTCAATACCCCACACAGCTGACGGTTGTGCCTCTAAGGGGTGAAAACCAACCGTAATATCCATCAGCATCCCTCAGGCCACAACAAATCAGCCTACACTTGAAGCCAGCCCCCTTGCTTGCTATGCAGACATAGCTTCAAGGAAAAGTTTGTAGCTTCTCTTTTCAACTGGATTGAAACCTTAAGACCCTCCTCTAATAGAAATTCTGGAACAATGGGGGTAGATATTATACTCACTTCACAAATGAGAGAAATCAAGAGAGATTAACCAACTTGCCCAGTGTTAGTCATAAATGCAAATTGTACTTGGAAGTTAAAACTAAATTATTTCCCC